TTATGTCTTACATTTCTGTCCTCCATTTCTTGGTATGTGTACTCTTTCGTCCACACTTCATGACGCTTCGAGCATTTGATTCCAGGATTTCGGTGGCACGCATCACAAAGTGGCTTCACGGTGTGTAGTATTATTTTGTCTTCTTCGATACCAGTGCAGATAAAATGGTGAGTTAACAGCGCTCGATGAACCGCCAGATGATCACCGAGTTCGACGTTTTCTTTCGCAGCCTTCACATCTTCAGTCTCGAACGGTGTGTCACATCTTTGAAACCGTTCGAAAAGGCTTAGGTCTTCTTCTTGTTGTAACTTTTCATTGTATTTGTCATCCATTACATCGGATACCGACATTTTTGCTGACGTCGTGCCAACAACTGTCAGTATACCAGCATATAACTTTGTATGCAATACTTTAGAGTTGAGATGAAGGCAACGACCCCTGATTTTTCGGGAATCCCCCACATATTACGTCAGATTTGATTCACTGACCGAAAAACTGAAAATTTGTTTATGTGATATCAAAATATTAACAAATTWATTTAAAGACCTGAACTGAGTAAACAGAAAATGCAGCGAGTGAAAAAATATGAAAAAGARAGGAAACTAATTAAACTGAAGTATTACCAGTGTAGAATTCATGTTACAGTAATAGGAATTTTCCGTGAGAATAAAGTCMGTTATTATTTTTTCAGAAACAATGTAAAATACGCCCGGCCCCCTGTATCCCACCCCTTGGACAGATATTTCCATCGCCGTAATTGGTAAATAGCCAGACTTACAGTCAGTTTTTAGGGCGAACATCGTTCTTTTTATATAATATCTCGGAAATAATAAACTAGCAAACTGAATCGGAATCGATTGACTCCTGTAATTTCAGTCTATATACTATTTTAACAGTACAGCTGTTTCACTCAGTTCGGCACCTGTGACATCCTTACCCCCATACTGTGGTTGATTCCAGTTTGTCACGAAAGGCAACTATTTCAATCACTGATAATCTTGCATAAAGAGCTGACAAGAAAAGACGCTTTGCATGATGAGAAAAGGGTCGATCATGAGAAGAATAGAGATTTTCGCCGAAAATCACTTTTTTAACGATCGACGCTTATCTCAAACCAAGCGTCTTTTTATGAAACTCTCAGTTTCATACCAAATTAGAGAAACAGCGAAAAAACAAGAATGTACTGGTAAAAAGAACAAGACAGTGGCTAGATTTGAGAGAACAGAAAACTTCCCCCTCTTCAAAACTTTTTTTGAATTTTTTTGGAAATTGTACATCTAGGGAGGTGTGCCGGAATGGGTGAGTTCCAATATCAGTTAACAGCTAAATCATAGTAGTTTTCTCAGTTATCAGTAAATCCAACGTTACCTATTAATTCTTATAAGTTTTTTACCTCAAAATCAAATGACAAACTTATTTGTCACCATCTACACCAAGCATTACGTCACACATCRMATGTTTTACAATGAAAGCACATATTATTTTAAAATATTCATTAATAATTCATAACAGGTCATAACAGTTTTGTCCAATCCGATGCTCACCTCCGGTCACGAGGAAAGCCCTTTATATCACATATTACTTGGCAGTGTATAAGAGACCAGTCAGTATTTAATTCGGAGAGGGGGGGTGGGGGTGGATGAGAAATGGTTGAGGGATACCGTGATGAGTTTATATACTTAGCAGCATTAGTAGACAAGGAAGGATAGGACATTGACAACCGAATTCAGTTTTTCCGCCGGAAATCAGGACATATATAACTTTGAACTTTATAAACAGTAATTACAGTGATTTGATTGACATCGACGTTTATCTGATTGGTAGTTTAGAATAGAAATGTAGTATCGTGTATCAGTATAGAGTGAACCACGCCGGTTTCGCCCGGTTACAGAAGTTTATCAGTTATTCAGCTTATTTCGTGCTAACCAGTGAAGATTATCAGTTATTCAGTGCTAACCAGTTTTCAGTGCTAACCAGATCATCTACAAGGAAAGTAG